TTTAACGGGGAGGTTTTAACGGGGAGGTTTTAACGGGGAGGTTTTAACGGGGAGGTTTTAACGGGGAGGTTTTAACGGGGAGGTTTTAACGGGGAGGTTTTAACGGGGAGGTTTTAACGGGGAGGTTTTAACGGGGAGGTTTTAACGGGGAGGTTTTAACGGGGAGGTTTTAACGGGGAGGTTTTAACGGGGAGGTTTTAACGGGGAGGTTTTAACGGGGAGGTTTTAACGGGGAGGTTTTAACGGGGAGGTTTTAACGGGGAAGGTTTCATGGGAAAGGGACACGAGAGTGGCTTTTGGCCGCCATCTTGTTGTGTAGGTTACCACAACTGCAATAAAAACTATTAAACGAACTTCTTGTGAACTCACTTGAAAACTACTATGTATCTCATTTTCGTGCAATTTTCTTCGACACTATCACCACATACTTTTGAGATGCTTCAAATATATTTTAAGCATCAGAAAAAAGTCAACTTGTTCAAAATCAAAATGTTGTAGTGGTCAAAAATAACTTTATGTACAGCTGCAAGAGCTTGTTGTTCCTTTATGGTCAGTGTTTTTTTCGGCGTTTCCTTTTCTTCTTGGTATATTTTTATTTTTTTTTTCAGTCAAAAACAACCATTCTCTCTAAAAGTCTATACACGTGTCTAGGTTGCTAAAGGGTCAACGCCTAAGGATCGACTGTTCCCAAATAATGTTTCGTGATTTCTTTGACCTTATTGACGAATACCTCTTACTTTTGAAAAGTCAAAGACAAAAAGGAAGCCGATGACCAGATGCCCAAGACACTCTTGACTGTATTTTTGTCTTTAYTAAAGACTTTAAGACTTTAAGACTTTACCTATTGAACTTTATCTCGTGAAATCGCAGGACAATATATTCAGCATGCACTTTGTCACATTCACATCSATCATAGTGGCAGTTTTCCAGCCATAGTTCAATTGTAGTGGAAAAGGTTTCATGATTTGGTTCATGTATTTGACTGTAATAAGCGTTTTTGCACATAAATCAACAAAGTTTAATGACCAATTGCAGTAAAAACGTTTCGGATGATTTTGGTAATGTCAGTGACTACCAAAAAAAGGTTTTTGGTTGTATGTTTGTTGTTTTATGCGCAAAAACGCTTAAAAACATTGATATATATATCCCACCTGAAGTTTGTTATTTCGATGCAGCAACTGCTAACAAACAAAGTAAAACAAAAGCAAACATTTTTCAGTTTGTTCAAAGGATTCGGTTTCCATCACTGGTAGCCGTACACGTGCAATTCAAGTGAAATGAAGTTCATTCAAGGTCTTTTCCGAATATATCAGACACTTTACGGCGACCTTTGTACTGTTTTGCTTTAGATTCAGGCTCTCAAAATACGTTTTATCTTACTTGAAGTGATTTATTTCGAAGGTCGTTTAAGGTTCAAAAGGATTCTTCTGTAGAAAAAAGTCCTGTTCAAACGAGATTGCAAGTCCTTGCAAATTTGACTTGAATGAATTTCTAAAAAACCTGCGCGAAATCTGCACATGCAGGTTTTATCGACTGAACACACAATTGCAAGTTTCGCGAGTCGTTTGYAWACGYGGRCGTGCWGTAGAYTGCTTACMCCGAACTTWATCAGATAAAATGCTTCAGTTACTTGTACTATCCCGGTTGCTGATCATGATTTGTGGTGCTGATTAACGCAACCATAACTTTCAAGTGGTCAAAAAAATAAGATTAATTAAGAGAGACTAACGGCTCATCCCCTCTCTAGAACCAAGAATGTCAAGTAAACTTGATCCAAACGTAAATGAATTCATTGCAACTTGTCCTGATTGATTTTAGTACCATTACTGATGCTTAGTCTGATTACAGCTAGAGTACAAACACTATAAAACTGTGCAACATAAATAACACTAGATACTGCTAAATTATGCTAATTCTATTGTTTTCTATTGTTTAATTAACACTATTTTGTAGTAAATAGTGTAAAGTATTGCACACATTTAATGTTTGTACTCTAGTAAAACTTATTACTAGAAATAAAAGAAGAGTGTTTGGCATTAATTAAAGTACTAATCTGCGCAAACTTTGTCGATAAACATGCTTGTCGCGCTGCCATCTTTGTGTGCATTAACGTTGTACCTCAACTGCGGCGTCAGTGGAACAAGTTCCACTTAGAAATGTTGCTCCTGATAAATGTAATACCGACAGCATTGATATTTTATTAATCAGTTCCTGTTTGTGTGAAGGCTGATAGCGCTATCCACCTGATAAATCTTTGTGTAGTGGACAACTTTATGCAGACWTATATGCAATCGTCGTACCATGGGCACACTTCRCGAMCTCAAGGGGAGGGGCAGGGTACGAATGTACTTACATCCGGYTCCCTTATAAGGGTATCTGTTTGTTCCAAGCTGTTTGAAGTCACAGGAGTACTTGTTACTTGCTTGCACTGGAAAAGAAAAAGTTACCAACTTCAGAGGCACTATTTCCAGAGGACCTTGGATTCCATGGATGGTTTCTATGTGATCTCAGGCTACCATTTAATCCTTGGTTCCCTGTGGTCCTTGTATTCCTTGTAGAAGACCTTGAAAAGAACAAATGGGAAAATAGAAACAATAAAAAAGAGGGAGTGGTGGTAATTGGCAATTGGTCCAAGTTAAATCTCCTAGGAACAACAAAGATGTTGGTCTAAATTCTTGGTACTAAATACAACGCTATCATTGCATGTTCATCATACCGACCTCTACAACTAGATACYTTAACGACTCCGTTCAAAATCAAAATGTTGATGACCAGCGACAGCAACGAGATAATCATAGAAAAACAAGACTACAAAGAAAGCTTTCTCTTTCTATTTGTATACCCTGCTCATAGAGTCATTGTCGGAGAGGTGTTGTTTATTCAGAAGAGCATCTTCCTMGTTGAGGATTGTTGGCTTATCGACGGTGGCGCATTCATTTAGTAGGCCAACAACATCGTCGTCTTCAGCTGCAACATGAAGACTGAGGTGTTCCTCATTATCGTCCTCCTCGTTGTCGGGCGAGGAATATCAGACATTAACGCGGCTCGGCCTCGAGATCCACTGCGAGCTTCTTGGCGGCCATGGTAGACCAGCTCGAGCCTGGTTTGACGATGGCGGGTCGCCATTGGTGGATTGGTTGGGCTCTGGTAGATTATCACAAATCTTTTTCATGTAATCCACCATAGCCACCATTCTATCATTGATGGACGATATCGGATCGTTAGACGCATTGAKSCCAGTATCCATCAGTTCTGGTTCTGAGGACGTGGAATAATTGTTCTCTGACATTTTAACTGAAAAAACTAAAGCTGTTGAAATTAAAATCGTTCACGTTTTAAGAATTTTGTTCAGAGTACTCACAGTTTGATGAAAAAAGAGCACTTTGAAGAACTGGTTGATAAGATGACTTGAAGTCAGAGTGTGGAACGAAGGTGCTGTCTCACAAAAAGCAAAGCATGCAATGCTTCAATAAGCAAGCGCGTCGCTTCTCATGTGTCTCCGTAGTGACGTAGACTGATGACGTGATAGAATCAGTGGTTATATATGTTTTATATAGTGTATTTCATATAATTATTTCTGTATATTATCACCATCATGACTGATACATCGTCTTGATACAAGTTAATAAGTTTTCTTTATTCTAAAAACTATATACAAAGTTGCATAGTTCACMGTAAGTTGCATAGCGACAATCTATGAAGATAGATGTGAATATCTTGGAAGTAAAATCAGATATCGAAAGAGTAAATTTCCATGTAAAATGTTTTAACGTGGATCGTAGTAGTACCGTGTCAGTCTATGCATATAAATTATACTACTATTATTACTACTCATACTACTACCTTGGCCCGTCGCAACATTTAGAAAAAATAACAATAATAAAAAAAGTAAATCTTCCTTTTTTGATAACTAGTCACTACTGTCCATATGCGAACAATTGAACTAAGTGACCAGCGGACAACTCCAGTAGTTAATGGAACAGTACATAAGTGCATCTCCATTTAAAATGGTATTTTTACCACCACATGCGCATTTGTAAAATCTTCTGTTTTTGGTCACTCCAGATGAGAACAACATGATTGCAGCATTGTTAGATGAACACGTGACTCCCACAATCCTTTGATCCTGGAACGTGAAAGATATGATTAGAAAGATATGTGCATTAATAGTTTATAAAGATAATCTATAATGATTAGATTTTTAGCTAGCAATGCTGTTATAATGGCAATAATGTWATCTCTCTTACCACTGGTTCATCCAATGTTACGTCGGTTTTGGCTAGATCGTCTGCAGTTACTTTGGTACTTTTCTTTGTAGMAAACCTGCATAATGTCAAGTTGATTGCCCCAGGAGGACCAGGAAGACCATTACTACCTGGCGAACCAGGAACACCTTGAGAACCTTTGTCTCCTTTGGAACCATTTTGGCCAGGGACTCCATTAGTTCCATTGATCCCAGGAGGTCCTTGTGGGCCTGGTGGTCCAGCGACTCCTGTTCTGTTTACAGCGTTGGAACTTATATTTCTAATAGCTGATATCTGAAAAACAACAAGAAAAAACTTTTATTTGCTAGCTCAAAGGGTTCATTCGCCTACAATCTTAAAAGTTTTGTTTGAACTCGTAATCGATTTAATCTTTCACATTCAATCCAATATTCGTCCAAATGCGAATAAGACCTTACCATCCGAGACTTAAGCTCTTTGATGCTCTTTTCCATTTCTTCAACTTTTTTWGGACCGCCCTCCATTTTTCCAGCAACTGCAGAAAACAGAAAGAARCCAATAATTAATGTGTCTTTTTCGGTAAGTGGAAGCCGATTTAAACTAATTAGGTACTTTTCGAGGTCTTTGTGACCCTTGGGGTGCCACTTCCTGGTCAGGCGTTTTAAGCACCTTGGTACTGACCGGTCTTTAATTGAGCACCCGATTTTACTGGACAACCCTCTTTAAAGCCATTGAAATAAAGGGAAGATAACATCTAAACTTCCGTCAAGATTCATGAAAAAAATTAATTCATGAATAGAGATGATCAACATACTGACCTCTACAACTAGGTACCTGAACGACTCCGTTCAAAATCAAAATGTTGATGACCAGCGACGCCAACGAAATAATCATGAAAAACACCAAGAATGCTAAGAGAACTCTCTCTTTGTACTTGAATACACTTCTCATGAAGTCATTGTMGGCGGGGTGTTGCACGATGTGTTCAATGGACGCTTGGTTTTTTGATGTCGCATCTATCTTGCCACCGGCATCGTCTGCGTCGGTAGGATCCAGTGATGACTTAGATGATATACATGGTTTCATTTCCACAGTACYAAAGTTGTCTTTCCCAATTTCTTCATATTGATTATCTTCAGTTCCATTGGATCTAATTGTCGCAGCCATCTCTTACGAGTTAACTTGGCTGATTTTTATAACGAAACTTGCCTTGACAAGACCTCAACAACATTTCCCAGTATGAGTATGATCCCTCCAAGTATCACCTTACGGATCGTATGGTCAAGAACGAATATTAATAGTCTGTAAATCAGGTTAAGATTAGTGAACCCTCCCTCYTCTTCCCTGAAGCAAGTAACTATATGTTTTATATCCATGTATATTTATTTCATATTATCAGCGCCATGACTGATGCATCGTCTTGATACAAGTTATACTACGTAGGTTTTCTTTATTCTGAAAACTATATACAATGTTGCATATATAATTCTCCGTAAGTTGCATATAGCTGCAATCTATGAAGATAGATGTGAATATCTTGGCAGCAATATATCGAAAGAGTAAGTTTCCATGTAACAATTTTTAACGTGGATCGTAGTGGTACCGTGTCAGTCTACGCAAATACATTTGAGCGGATTTCGTATGAGTGGGAAACGGACGGTACTGTACTGTGACCGTAATCGTACTGTAACCACATTCTAGTGTCCCATTGGTTCACCAAAATTGTGCAGGCCAGGTCCGGTAACTGTGCGGTAACCGTGCAGTGACGGTGTCCCACTCATACGAAATCCGCTCTATACTACAATTATTACTACTTCTTGGTGTTCAAGCACTTTGACGCGGCAAACTGTATTCTCTCTGAAATACAGAGTCAAAATTATCGCCGCCATGATGGAAGGTTGAACTAGAAAAACTAATGAAGAATGCTTTGTTATTTTTATCCAAGAAGGCAGGCTATATAATGTAGCACTATATAACCTATTGTCATAATTGAAACTCATACGTTTGTAAGACAATGTTAAGTCGATTTTCTCAAAGGAAATGACTAAATTAAGGACGAAAAGATGACAGCGTACAAGATGTTCCTGATGTTCCTGTAAGAACTAGTCTTAATTCCCTGTCATCTTTTCCTTCGCAACATTTAATACAAAAAATAATAATAACAATAAAGTATATCTTTAGGCGGAAAATTGAACTAAGTGGCCAGCGGACAACTCCAGTAGTTAATGGAACAGTACATAAGTRCATCTSCATTTAAAATGGTATTTTTACCACCACATGCGCATTTGTAAAATCTTCTGTTTTTGGTCACTCCAGATGAGAACAACATGATTGCAGCATTGTTAGATGAACACGTGACTCCCACAATCCTTYGATCCTGGAACGTGAAAGATATGATTAGAAAGATATGTGCATTAATAGTTTATAAAGATAATCTATAATGRTTAGATTTTTAGCTAGCAATGCTGTTATAATGGCAATAATGTWATCTCTCTTACCACTGGTTCATCCAATGTTACGTCGGTTTTGGCTAGATCGTCTGCAGTTACTTTGGTACTTTTCTTTGTAGCAAACCTRCATAATGTCAAGTTGATTGCCCCAGGAGGACCAGGAAGACCATTACTACCTGGCGAACCAGGAACACCTTGAGAACCTTTGTCTCCTTTGGAACCATTTTGGCCAGGGACTCCATTAGTTCCATTGATCCCAGGAGGTCCTTGTGGGCCTGTTGGTCCGGCAACCCCTGTTTTGTTTAAAGCCTGGGAACTTAAATTTCTTATAACTGATATCTGAAAAACAGCAAAAAGAAAAATGATTTATTTCATCTGGTGCTCGATATATCGTACGGTAATCCCTCACTAATATTGTAACGGCGTCACACGTCACACGGGGGACTGGGCCCGAAAGAAGATAGCACGCACGCATTCCACGCATTTAGCGCCCTCACAAGTTCGAAATTTAGCGTCCTTTTTACAAGTTCACAATTTAGCGTCCTCACAAGTTCAAAATGTCGAAGCGCYGTCGAAAGCAAGCCATCTCAGTCGAAGATTTAAAAGAAGAGGCATATAAGGAAGTTGATAGAGATACTCTCAACGAATCCAAGTCATCGTCCGTTCTGTTTGATCTCAAAGCTATTGATCTGCGTAACGTCAGAAAACTGGATCCTGAGATCGTTCTTTCGAGTGCCATTGCAAAGTGTGACCCGTTACAAAAAAAACCGGCCATGCGCAAAATAATATATCGCGCGCGGTATAAAAATATACGCAAACGATTCTTTGACCTCGAATGAATGCCTCGAATGGCTTTGTGTGAAGGATGGCGGTTTTATGAAGCATACACTCCTCTTTTGGTGTCGTCTGCTCTAGTACGTTTTCGATTGTAAATTTATTGCCATTTTGTTGGTGTGTCGAAAACTCTTATTTCAAACACTAATGTTGCGTCTCACAATTGAGCATAAATTAAATATTCTATTATTACCTCATTCTGTATGTCAAGTACCGCCGATTTCTGGTTGTTGAACTTTTTGTCAATGTTTGTTATTTTAACTCCTAAGTTCGCTTCCATGTTGTCTAGTGCTGAATCTAATTTGTCTGTTGTCAASAAGTTTTGCGATTGAAGTTTGGTCTGAAAAGAAAAATCAACACAAGAAAATAAAGCAATAATCAAACGTAAAAAGATGTATGTAACACCACCATCGCGCGACATACCACAATAGACTTTAGCTCTTTGATGCTCTTTTCCATTTCTTCAACTTTTTGGGGACTGCTCTCCATTTTTCCTGCAACTGCTGAAAACACACAAAATATCCTTTGTGTCAATTAATGTGTACAACTGCATATATCCACTTCTAGCTGAAGATAAAACTAAAACTTAAAAACCATTTTAACAACTGCCATTCAATGACTGATGTATACATGGCAGAATTGGCAGACTCCACACACCTTAAAGTGAAATGGTAACGGCACTTTAAGCACGTTAAAGACACAGATCACGTTATTCAAAAACAATTCATCAGTTAAGGTGGAATCACGTATTGGTATTATTCTATGATTGTTTCACATATTTGCATTTCTTCGTAAATGAAAGCTGGTGTAATCATATCAGGTCGAGCTGTCGATAGCGTCATAAAGAAAGGCAGCCATTTCTGCTTGATAACTTTCAGTGTATACGACTTAGATGCTGACAGATCAGCCGATCACGCACGATATATAGACGTGGTTTTGTTGCATAACATCAGAGTTATTTTTAGTGTGTTTTTTTATCAAGAGTTTCTTGAGGGTGTACTTTGCAACACCCACTACACGACTACTACAGTAACATATACTGCACACACACGCTAGGTAATTAGCAATAACATTAACAATTACAAAAGCAACAATAACAACAACAACAACAACAACAGCAACGTCTTCAGTAAACTGACTGTTCTACTGCTGATGGCACAAGTACTACTGCTACTACTACTTCTACTACTACTACAGCTACTAACACCATTACCATTAACTACTACAACATTAATTGATTTAGATACTTTGAAAAAGTCATCTCAAACAAAAGAACTTAATTGCAGTCATAGTATTGACAGTTTTTCTTTCGTTGCGCAAGCAATATTGCACGAGCACAAACACAATGGACGTACCTTTGTTGATGTCGGTAACGCTGCAAGTGCAATCAGTTTTCTTCCCAACGACTCCTCGAACCACTAACACATTCAAAATCAAGGATGATATTGTGAGAAGGATTAAAACTGGCAAAACAAGAAGTTGCAATGAAATCTTCTTATGACGGCGAGTCACTCCAACGTTTCCTGTTTTATTACCGAGTGAGTTATTCTCATTTTGGTCAAATGACTTGAGTTTGTTCTTGTCATTGTCTAAAGTATCTTTCATATCCTTAACATTCCTACATGGTACTTCCATTCCTATGTTATCCTCTCCAACGTCCTCTAGCTTCAAAGTGTTTGTTTCAAGGTCTTGTTTCTTTTCATTTTTCATAAACGCTTGCTGGAGAAAGTTTGGTTTTTTCGCCATTTTGCTGGTCTTCTCTTTCACTTTTCCATCCTTTGGCTTGACTTGAATTTTCGACATTTTTGATTTCTATACGCATCCAACTGGTAAACTTTGGAGTCTTTTCTTTTCTCACCTGAGGTATTGTAGTAATTTAAGACGCTTGTTGTGTTACTAGCAGTGGTGTCCCATTAGTCGTCCGTCAATAGTACAGTTGGCACAATTCAGTGAATGTATCTCCCTTAGCTTGAGGTAAAGAGCAAAGATAGGCAAATATTGGTTTAACAGACAACATGAGGTATCGTCAATCAAAATAAGAACCACCACCGAGGTCTGGTATGAAAAAATACAAAAAATAAAATGGCTAAACGGCTGGCAGTTTAACACTAATGATTATAACTGCTATCTTTGATTTTAAAAACCAATCAAGTAATTACCGGCACTGAACAAACAGCCAGCAGTGCTGAGCGTCTTGTGCCTAACGCCATTTAGACAACACTTGAGTATTATACACATCAAATACGATTGGCTGCCCGGCGTAGTTAACTCATCTATAGGTCAAGCAAACTTATTTTAAGGCATTAAAAACTATCCGAACTATACTTACTGTACATGTTGAGAATAGTTGTCTTCTTTTAGTATGTTAATACTAAAAATATATATACATATAAAGATCAAAGTGTACCTTCGAGTCAGAATCGGTAGAATTAGAGGTGAAGGTACTTTGTAGGTTTGATTGAGTTCACGCTGTGATATTTGAAGCAACCATGCTAACATTTGATCTCCACGGTACTTTGCTAGTTAATGCTATGATTAGCATTTGAACCCCCCAGTAAACATTTTTACTGAGTACATTCTTACGTTTCCGTAAGCAGTTCATTGCCTTAGGTACTCATCGATCAATGTTGGTTGTACATTTACGCTCTCGCTAAATGCCGGCATCCCAGAATGCAATGCGGAGGATTTAAACAAACATTCTTAAACCTAACATCCATGTCTTGTGTAGTTACCAGAGTGATTTTTTTTAGGTTTGTCTGTTGTTGTTTTTTTTTTGGCTGCTTAGGTTATTGCAGAGGATTGGTTGTTGAGTTTGGTCTTGGTCAAGGTCTTGGTTTTGATTGGGTGGTCAGTATATAGTTGTGTAAAAAGATAAATTTAACACCGTAAAAAAGTATGTGGAATAACTTACTGACGTTTCGGATGTTAATCCTTCTTCTGCCTAACGAAGGATTAACATCCGAAACGTCAGTAAGTTATTCCACATACTTTTTTACGGTGTTAAATTTATCTTTTTACATAACTGTTTCTTTAGAAACACCGACGCAGCTCACACTAGTTTACCGCTAGTTCCCACCATTTTACTATTGGTCAGTATATAGATTGTTAGTCTTGGCTGGTCGTATGGTTGGGTGATCGGTATAGAGATGTCAGTCTTGGTGCGTGAATTAGTTGGATGGTCGCTGTAGACAAATTGGTTGCGCGGGTGGTCGGTATGTCTCGCTGAATTGTAGTGTTTCTCGCCAAATACAATAGTTTTTTGGTGATTTTTTAGTTGGAATTGGTAAGTAGCTCAAGTAGAGCTATTATAAATTAATGCTTTCAATCACGAACACTTACTACTCGAGAATCTACAAGAAATGTCATCACTTACTTATCCCATTATAAATAAAAACAGATCATTGAGAATAAAGAAAACAAGAAACAACTGTGAAAATACGTGAAAATACAACAACAAAAAACAATCGTCAAAATACGACGAAAGCGAACCGCCGAATAACAGGTCATGACCACATCCGTACAAGTTGCCCCGTAATTGATCCCTCAATGTTCTAGAATGCCTAAGGGCACAATCATCTGAGCGAAAAGCACACGCAAGCACAGATGTCGTGAAGACGTACCGTTATATTCCATGTTATAGCTTTTTATCAAACATTTTCTGAGTTTGAAATCATGAGAAGTATCTCTGTTGTAAAGTAAAGTCATTTCTGGGTGGTCTTAATAACTCAGATAATAAATAAAATCATTAATCAAGACAATAATCTTCTTTAATATGACGTATGCATGCCATAAATAAGTATAATGTATGAAAAKGATGAAATATTTACAGTTTCAGTGAATTGTTATACTACAACGAGAATGAATCCAGTGAATAATTCATAGCCCATGGAAATGAAAAAAGGCTTGTCATGGCACAAATATGTAATCCTACAAAAGATCTATAAACTACTGCAATGATGGTTAATAATCAAGAAAATAACATTAAAAGGCCGGTTAGATTCAAGGATTCTATTTTTTGGAGACCAGAAAGAGGGTGTGGACAGCCATCCTATATAACCCCCTCTGGCTACGCCCTAGTGCACTTGAAAAAGAATGGCTGTGAGAAAAGACTCAAATTCTCGGAGAAAGTGCCATCCAACACGGCCACTGTTACACCATGWTACACTCTCARCTACGAGGACATTCCCAGTAATGAAGATAGCAGTACATTTGTCCATTAGTTGAGATAAACTGTGCCGACTTTCCTTTGCAAACACATCGATAAAGACGCTTGCCGCTGCCATCAATGGGAGCTTCAAAGTTGTACTCAAGTGCTGCGTTAGTAGAACAAGTTACACCAAAGAATTTTTTATCCTGAAAAATGTAAATCGATACAGCGTTGATATTTTATGCATTAAGGGTCGTTTAGAGTAYAGAGCACTATCCACCTTACGTAAACTATTTCCTTTATGAAGTGGATAACTTTGTCCAGCGGAAAACTGTATGAAGGCTTTACACCTCACGGGGGAGGGGCAGGGCATGAATGTACTTACTTCCGGTTCCCTTAAAATAGCATCTGTTTGTGCCAAACTGCTTGAAGACACAGGTGTACTTGTTACTTGCTTGTACTGACAAAGRCTAAAGTTACCACCTCCAGAGGCACTATTTCCAGGAGGACCAGGAAGRCCCTGAGGACCTTGGATTCCCTGGTTCCCTTGTGATCCCTGGCTGCCATTAAATCCTTGAGTTCCCTGTGGTCCTTGAATTCCTTGAGGACCTTGAGGTCCCATAGGGCCTTGCGAACCATTATGACCTGATGGGCCTATTGGTCCTTGAAGTTTACTGACATTGACTATCTGGAAATAAGATAGAAATACAGCTTACGCAACTCTTTTCTGTGTAATGAGATTAGCGACTTTTCTCGTCCTACCTGCTCGATTAATGACCTATTGACCATTCCAAGTGTGTTTAATATTGCATTCTCTGTAAGTTTAGCTTCAAGCGTGGTTGAATTCAACTAGAAGTATACCAAAAGCTGTGATATACGAGGAAGTGCAATCTGGAAATATCTATATTTAGCAGTACAGTTGATACGGAYCGACAAGTATCTTAGTAGATTGTTGGTTTACTGGTCCGTTAAAGATTAGTTTAATAGTACAYTGACATACCTTTTTATCAAGTTTAGACAAACTTTCTTTGGTGTCACTACAGCATTTTGCTAAGGATTGAGATGTTGTGGTATGATTTCGAGTCAGGATATCCATCTAAATTAAAGAAACAGTATTGCATTATCAACCGAAAACGTCTTGATTATTTTTGTGAGAAAAAAAAAGCATGATAAGTCGAAATCGTCAGAATCTTCTTGAACTTATATTAACGGTATTAACGGTATGAGTATTAACATGCCCCTTTGTAAGGCTCCCTGTCTCTCCCAATATGAGATGACGGAGTGTGAAGAAGAAACAGGAAGCCCGTCAAAACGTTCCATGGCTGCAAAGATGACTATATCAATCTTTCCGTAGGAAACTATCATCTGGGAGAATCGGTACCTCATCTTGAAGTGCTTTATATTTTGTTTCTGTTTCTTCAAGTCTATTCTTCAGTCGATTAATCTGGGTGAAGAAATAAAAATCGTATCATTTCGACTACAATTATTTATGTCAAAGAAATTACATTTTAAAGTCGGCCATGTTGAGGGAACAACAGCTTAAACYCACCTCTTCGTAGCGCCGTGCATTTTCCTCCTATTGGACAGAATGTGCAAAGCGATTATAAGAAGAAATTCACTTCGGAAATACGGTTTGTTATAACTTTTAACGATTATTCGATCTACAATTGTAGATATTTAAGGTTCTATATGAACTTACTGTTCGYTCTTGCTGGAGTTTGCTGATATTTCTTGTCAGTTCTCGTAGTGTTTTGTCAATGTCYTCTGTRGATGAYTGCTTGAGGGTGCTCGGGGCTCCTTTGAAAACAACGGTATGCAATCATTTATAATATCTTTACTACCACCAAGAGCTGATTCAGGGAAGGGGGTTATTAGTGTTGCTAGCCACACCCCTAGGAATAGCAATTATGCCGGGATGAATAACTAGGAAGAAAGGAAATATGAATGGGAMCCATTCTTCAAAAACAGCTAAGCAGCGTTCATTTGAAAGTAGTAGTCATTGACAGACCCTTATGACGTCAAAGGAACTTATTKTGGGGGGCTGAAAGCATTGTTTTGTGGCCCCCAGATGGAATCGTATTCCCATAGCTTCTCAATCTATTTTACTAATGTTACCATGAGTTCGTGACTATCCTACATCAAAATCAACAAATAAAGATTATACGAACATTAAGAGATTACCGATGCGATAAACCATTAATGATCCTCCCGACGACCCGCTTTGAAGCGATTTCTCGTACGAGTTATTAATTAATACGTTCAAGAATCTAAACCAATTRACTTTAGATTAATTTTAGTATGATATTTCCAACTTTTATACTTCCTGAGACTTTGATCAAATTGGACCTTCAACCTTGATGAGTACTGACTTTACCACTTCATCGCTTTTTTAATTTGTAATCAGACGCTGTTGAGTTTTTTTGATTGCAGTTTTCATCAAGAAGTCTTGTTTGCAATTACTATTTTCAAGGGACTATTGTTTAAAACTTTTCGGCARGACACAGAGAGGTTTAAAATCGCCTTGGCAAGAACAAAAATGCAGAAAGTAAAACAATGTACTTATTACACTGAAAAATGTTTTTCCAAAACTTAAAGTTGCGCATCTGGTTATAAGTAAAAGTTTTCTACAAATCTGATCGCGGAGTGAGTAATTAATGATTTAACACTGAACGCTCTTAACCGACTTTCTTCCGTCTTTTAACGATATGATCCTTCCAACGGCTTTGAAGGCTTTAACTAAAATGCTTTTTTTCGGACTGAGTCAGCAATAACTTCCATATCAAACTGTTTTCTTAGCATGTACTTTATCGAAACACCATAAGATTGCCGCTACAATTCCATCTATTCAGTTAAACGTTCTGTAAAACATATCAACAGATGAATAAGAATCATAACGAGTTTTAAATCATACCTTGTAACGTTCCGTCGCAGCAGCGCCCCGTAATCTTCCCGAAAATAAGCAAAACAGTCACTATAAGCGATCCAATAGAAAGCAGTCCAACTGTACTAACCATCACACACATTCGACGTTTTAATTGCAGTATATCTTGGTAAGGATCCTTGGAATTTTTGGCGAACCATCCTTGASTAAGTCTATGGTTTTGAGGTATTGAGAGTTTTGGTGAAGGATATGTGACCAACGCGCAGTTGGTGTCAGGTTTATGTCCTCTACTTTCGCTATTATATGTTGCATCAAGATGATCATCATCCAATCGTTCAAAAGCTGGATTAACAACGAGATTGTTTGGTTTTGTCTTTGAAAAGACCATGAAGGATTCTTCGTTCGTAGTCGTTAGTGATGTGACTTTATTCATTCCAGACCTTATCCTCCAATTCCAGTCACTACTCATTGAGGTTCTGCTGTTGCTCATGTTACACGTCTTATATCGCTAAACCATGACCCTTGTGTACTGCTAATTTCTGCCGTATATTRCTGGTCGTCACAATGTCGGGCGGTAACCTTCTTTATACAGGAGAGTTAGTTAAGCCCTGTGTACAAGGCTTGTTAACTTCAGTGACGTTTCATTGACTATTGCAACAACACCCTTTCATTAATTGGTGATGAAACAAATTCCGTCTAAAAGCCAGAMATTGTGCAAGGAAGTTGCCATGACACTTCTGGACACGCTCTCTCGTGTATTGATAGATCAAAAGGGGACGTCTTCCAAAGGCCTCGAAAACGAAAATAACGTGTGCGAAATTCTCGCGCTTTGAATGACTTGATGAGTCTTRCAATTAAGGTCTATTTACAACGTTATGTAAACAAGGTCACAAACATCTTTAAATTCTAATTTAATTGCATTCCGATGTCATTAGGAAAAGCAATTAAAGATAGCTTAATATTATATCAAATTGTTTTTTAAGGAAAAAATATATATCCGGAAAAATCAGTTTTGGAGCCTTCTATCAGACTGGCTTAACAACATACGTACTAGTTCATTGTACAATTGTGAACTGATTTTGGACGTAAGAAAGAAAGATCAATTTTAGATTTAGATTATAATAAAGATTTAGATCAATATTCGCACGTACATTCATCATGTCGTCTCACTGCGTGCATGCGTGCATGCCAAACATGAATAGAGTATACCGCCGATAAGGCCACCTGTTTAGGAGGTCACGTGATACACACGATATATGATTTCATTAGCTTCGTGCTATAACTATTAAAAGTAATACATGCATGCTGTGTTCTATTTCCACTGGCTAAATCACGTCAGTCGAAAAAAAGTCAGTAAAATATCAAGCATTTCAATTCTTCAACTCCARTCCCATCGATCAGTACTGAGGGATAATCCCTAATGACAAATCGATATTATTGTGTCARCAGTTAAAAAACAGAGGATTAAAGACCTTGTTTACAAGTATTATAGTTATTGATATACTGCAAACATGGAGGGAACATGTCATGACACGGTTCATGTTGCATTACTTACATTCGATATTGATTGACTTAATTTACTAGAACTAATGCGTTTTTAAGAACTGAAACGGGTTGTCACTGTGATTGGAATGCAATGATTTGAAAACATGTGTAATGATGACATTTTAATGTCTTTTCCATCACGTAAACAACATTAAATGGCCGCCATATAATCATGGACACAACTGATGGCAACACCAACACAAACACCAACCCTACAACAACAAGGCTAACAACAATAATAACATCATTACTGTGAACTTACGRTAACAGCAATACCAGCAGTTAACACACCGACCGACCTCAGCAGCTCCTGGCAGAGCCAATAAACAACAGCAGCAACAGTAACAACAACAACAACAACAACAACAACAACAACAGCAACAACAACAACAACAACAACAGCAGCAACAGAGAAACCATAGCAACATCATTAACAGCAACAAAAGTTCTACATGATGCTTGAACTACTTTTCTTTTTATAATACTTTTTCCTCCTTTCCGGCCTTGATAAAAAATGTTTTTGACCTCGGCAGACTTCACAGCTCTACACCATTAAACCTCTCCAGGGGTAGGGCTGATGGATGTGATGAGAGTCGTAAACAGCCCGCCACATCTTGAATTACGGAAGCCTTTGATACTGCAGTTGATTAACATATATCAGTCAATTATCCCGCGCGCAAATACATCAGCTGCGGGCAAAGTGTTAATGCGTTGGCGAAACATTATCGTTCAAGTATGTGAAACATTTTATATGATCGGCTAGGCTGTAAGGCGTTTCTAGGAGACTGAAACGCCCGGCTACACCCTAATGAAAAGCAATAAAACTTAAGAATTTAATTTACCAAACGTTGAATAACTGAAAAATGAGCACACCAGGTCTTAGGGATTATAAGGCTTGTACTTTACTGGTTATAACGCATCTCTTGTTTTGCAACGTTGTTGTCTGAGCTCGCGCTTGAAAGACAATTGTAACGCTATAAAATTGCTACTTAAATTAGGTTCGGACAACGATTCTGTTGTTTGTGTGAGAATTCCATTGAGGCCTCATAGACCAAAATCACTAACCCAGCAAATTGCGTGAATTCCTCAAGTTAATGGGTCCATCCTCGTTGACTTGATATTTTCTCACGCGATAAGGTCGAGATACGACGTCTTATCAATCTAACTACTTTAAAAACTATTTGTATTTATTTTCCTAGTGACTGGGTTTTGCAAGGAAACCTCTAGGTAATTGATGAGGCGTTTGATAGAGTCAGGAAATGTGACGAAAATGACTAGTTCCGTTCTCAATTTAAGTCACGAAACATTTGAGATTTTTACCAGGATTTTCGCATACAAATTAATTTGGCCGTAAATGAGCTGGTACAGCATTAAATCTGATTAGTTTTGTCAATCACCTTAATTGTATTTCAAACCTAATTCCTTCTACATGTACGCATGCGTTAAAATCGTAGCCAAGATATTGGCTGATATTCCATGAAAAAGAAATGCATGGTTCTTAAAGATGATTTATGACGTTAACAAATGAAAAACAAAAAGCAAAAAAACAACAAAAAAAAAAAAGCAAAACAAAACAAAAAGAGAAAAATCTGGAGAAAAGTGATTTTTGTACGGTAAAAATCGTCGAAGCCAACTTGTCAAATTTGTCATATCAGCACGATCGCACCCGTTAGTAAGGGATTATGCTGCATGCGCAGTACTGATTCTTTCATGCGATCATGGACCAGTGTACGGTATATCATCTACCTTATCCTGCTGATGGGCAACAGATGTTGTTTCTCATAATTTTTACTCGGTAAAAGATTAAATCCCAGGCCACCTCCATCAAAACTGCTCAAAGAAAACGAATTTCTTCAAGTGTTGGTAAGGTAACACTACTGTACGCCACCCTGGAGCTAAATTACTTTACTTAGAGGACGAGAGATAAGAAGTCGATAAATAGTCTGTCAAGGGACCATGATAAGAGTACCATATGCTGCGTGTCTATTACCAAATATGCTAAACAGGTCAAAGGTCTCTTTTCTAAGCTTCTTTGACTGGCTGGCTCAGTAGCGTAATATGTTGTTTTTGCTCAAGAAAACAAGTTCAAAACAGCTTTGTCTCCTCGTCATATCATTTCGCAACAACCTTTAGCCGTGATATTTAAATAACCACAGAAAAGCTGTCAAAAAAGCTGTTGGTTTTTGATAAAATGGGAGAGAATATTGATGAAGTTAAAGAGAAGACAATGCCGAATCGTCCCGTTTTGGGAAGACGAGTAACATGTCAGTATTACAGCCCGGCGCTTGTCCTATCAAGCAACGATGGTAAGAACATCATATGATCGTTGGGAGTTTCTTTGATTTTATTCTCCTAAACATCGTTCAGCAAATATTTTGAATGACAAAACGTTGGTCACTTTTGATCACGAAAGACTTCCGATCGACTTTGGGTTTCTCCATTAATGCGCTCTATTCGGTTTCTAAACGTTACCCTTAGAATACAGGGATTTGACTTTGACTTTGCGTTCTCCTTTTGATATACTGATAGAAGTTTCGTCAAAAAAATGAAGTTCCTGAAGAAAATGTTTTCAATGTTAGGACGGCTACGAAGAATCTTTTTCTCAGTGTGTTTTTTTTTCGTGAATTTTATACAAATATTTCTAGTTGAACTGAATCATAACAAAATGAAAGAAATAGTACTTAACGATTATATCAAAACGCATTATAAACTAGGACAAGGTTCATACTTAGTTGTTCTTCAACAGCTGTTATAAAAAACTCCTTCAACTACTGAGAAATTCAACCTAATTAAACGGAGGTCATCAACCATATTTGATTCATTTTTGATCAAATTTATCATCAATTTTAAGCACTCTGTTGTTTTGAACCACTCAGTCTTTACGATTTTAGAATTTTATGTCGTAATAATTGCCACACACTATGAACACAAGAAAAACATCAAACAAGAAATCACTAGACGAGTTGTCAGTTTGTCTTATCGCTGAGCGTCACATTGTAACAGCTCATTGAGACACTGTGTAGATTTCACGTGTCTATGACTTTCATCTCAGGCAAACCTTGAACATGCTGTAAATACTGCCTTAAATGGTCGTCAGTAATATCTATTCTCAAAGCGGTCAGATTTTAGTTGTTTAACCGTTTGTTTAATTTGATAAAAGACTTTATGAAGCTTCACCAACAGAGGAATAAATGAAGATCACGGTTTCTGGTAAAAAAACAAGCGCACGTGTTAAATTCTAAGACTTCACGTGCAAAACAGATTAAAAAAGTCGTACATGGGTAATCTTAGTTGTTGATAAATCATTTCAACTCTATAATTCCTGTAATACTGCTGTGAGACGACGCCATATTGATTCTTTCACTCAACTCTCTACAATATATCCCAGAAAGCATTGCGGCCATAGTAGAACCATCTCCATAATAAAAATAAAACAACTCGGAAACCAAAAATAATAGTGATCATTACCAAACGCTTCTGTCCTTGTGAAGTACAGAGTTTTTGTACTTTTGTGTTTGCGTAATTTAAAGTTTTTTTTTTGTGACAATGGTGAAGATGAGTGATTATTATGGCAGCCGCTTGTATGGGATTACCCGTATGCAATCCCTAAGATTAGCCAGATGGTAGTAATGTATATTAATGAGATTCATTACTTTACTGACAGTAGCTTGGATGTAATGATAGACGATTACTCTGGTTTGAATGCGACTTCCCTATACTAGCTTCGTTTTTTACATTTATATCTTAGTAAAAAGCTTTTTTGCATTCAAAATGGCCGACCTAACGAACATCAAAAAGACCGGGTTTATTTTGGTCTAGGAACTTTCCAGACTCATTGCCGGTTTTGTTACTTTAATTTATTTGCTGATGGTATCTGCACGCATAAGATGATAATCGTTTTCATGAAATAACTGGATGTATCTTTACCGGATCGACTTTGTCTATAACTATCTGTACATTTTTGTTCATATACACTAAATTTGGACGTTTTCGTGTAGGTTCTTTTTGTAGCGAGTATTCCCACGCTACATGCTCTTAGATGAGTATTTCAGTCTCGTTATGTTTGGTCTAAAGTTTGAAGTACCAAGTCCATTTGACGAGTTGTATCTATTTGTGTGACCTTGCTTTGGCCTGGTATGCAAAGAACGCATGTTAAGAAGTTGAATATAACAACTTCCTTGATCGGCTGTCTTTGTCTGACCACAGTCAAATCAATATCAATTGTTTCTATAATAAGAGAGCAATTTCATCTTCATATAGGTTCTTAGTGGTTACGGGAAAACAGTAGTTATGTCTGGTATGAAATGCCTATTTACTGGTTATCATTGATCCATTTTGGGGTTAATGGAAAAACTGGCGGAGGTTAAAATCATTGAATATGATCGTTTTGTTTCCACAGAAAAACGTTTGCAGGTTGTACTCGAGTTGTTTCAGACAGAGGAAAAGTATAGCTGTTGCCTTCACACGTTAAAAACAGTAAGTTTTTTCAATCTTATTCTCAGTTGCAGTAACTTTCATGGGCGTGAGCAGGGGGAGGGGGACCCCAAGCAGTTCATGAATCCCCTTTTCTTGGCAGACAAAGTCTTTAGAATATTAAACTTTATCGTGACAAATCAATACGGTTACACATTTTCAAATAGTCCAACAGTTTGTTCGGTGTGAATCTCACAAACAGTAGTGTGCAATTTTTCAGTTAACCACCTTTTTAGAGTCTTGGCAAAACAAAGTTGAACTTTCTATTAATCATATATTGTCATTAAGAACTTATGTGCCTTTATATATGTTTCAGGTATTTGAAGACAAGCTTAAATCAAGTAACATTATTCCAGTAAAAGATATCGAGTGAGTTGCTAGACATGTCAAGTGCAGAGTTTACTATTATTAACTCTTGTAGTGATATAGATATCGTTGTTTAACCGTTTGCTCTTTTATCTGATCAGAGTTTTCAATGGAAAATAGTTAAGATAAAACGTACTTCAGGTTTGAATTTCTTTAGGCGTGGGAACATATGCGCAGTGTAGTCTAAAACTCAGTCTCTTTTCCACATTATTTTACAACTTTAATACAAAAAAATCAGAAAATAACTTTCTGTTTCATCAATTCACTAATTTTACAACGCAGAAGCGCGATGATGCACCATGATCTGCATTCTGTGGCTAATCATTCAATAATGTGATTTTCAGATCGATATTTCCTACTGATTTGAAAGAAATTCGAGATGTTCACGACCGGTTGTGTGGAATATTGAAAGCTAGAATACAACAGTGGAATTACAGAAGTAAAGTTGGGGATGTGTTTGTCGAGTTCTTCTCTGACAAAAATCAGGTTAATAAACTGAAAAAAAATTTAAACAACAAACACTAACAACACATTTTTACAACTTGACCACGCCTTACATTACAACTACCCAACAACATGCCGTAAACACAATACCTTATACCACAATTACCCAACAACATACCATAACCACACTTCCTTACACCACAACTATCAAACAACATACCATAACCACAATACCATAACCACAATTCCTTACACCACAACTATCAAACAACATACCATAACCACAATACCATAACCACAATACCTTACACCACAACTACCCAACAACATGCCATAACCACAATACCTTACACCACAACTACCCAACAACATGCCATAACCACAATACCTTACACCACAACTATCAACACGACAAGCACAACTGACTACGTCTCTACAATCACACAACAATGCTTTCTTGTATTTTCAATGACGATTTTTTCGCAGTTTGATGTCATTGGTCACTACTCGTCTTATTCCAACAATTTTCCAAAAGCCATTCGTACAATTAGCAGATGTGTACGACAGTCAGTTGAATTCGAAGCTTTCTTGAAGGTATGTCTGGCATCGTTTTGCCTCCTTACAATGGAAATGATTTGTTAATAGTTTGTCGAGCTTTCAGGTTAAGTTCCTTTTTTCAAGGGTTTCATATTCAGTGTTTTTCCCCTTGTTATTAATTTATAGAACTGTTCAAATGGACCATCCCTGAAGGGACTAGATCTACATGCCTTGTTATTAAACCCCATACAAAGACTACCCAGATATCTACTACTACTTAAGGTTAGTGCGTCCTACTATATATGTTGACCTTGATATATTGCATGCACACAACAAATCTAGTCTCCTTCGCAGCCGAACCCTTTTGTCGGGCTTCCTCTGGTAGGCTGCGAAGGAGACTACATCAAAACTGTCCTGAAGCAAGGACGGTTCTTGCTGTTAATATTATGTCTTTAACTAATAATTTCCTTTACTGTAGTGTCCTTTTTCTTTCTAAATGCTACCGTAATGATTGGCTTCACACCATGCGTTTTCGAGATTTTTTACTTATTTTGTTATCTATGTTTCTGCTTGATGTTTACCAGCACTTGAAGTATTCACTTGCAGGTTGTTTGCAAATCAGCGGGCATCCAAATTAAGAGTCATCTTGTAATGCATGTACTAACTAAGACGTCATAGAGTGGGGCATGCAGTAGCGCGCGTACAATAATAATAGCAATAACAACGAATAACGAAAACAAGGAAAAAAAAGAAAACAAAAGGACCAACTATTGTGCAAACTCTACAACCATGTACTTTTTCACGTTTTTAATGTTTGCACTTTATTAAACAAGCTTAAGGAACTAAATTGCACTAATTACTTTGTAGTAGGAGGTCCTTTTGAAAACCATTTTTTGTAAATGAAAAAGTTCCTCAATAAAGATTATTATTATTATTATTAGTAATGATGATAATTATTTCTTGATCTTTTATTTCACAGCAACTGATTCGATTCACGGATTTAAACCATCCCGATCGATCACACGTAGAACAAGCGATGCTAGCAATGTCACAAACGGTTACAGTGTTAAATAATTCAATCGAAAGCTCTCTTAAAGTTGCCTGTGAATATACAACAAGAAAGAGGTAGTGTCTTATATTCATTTTTATACCCCAATCATTTTGAATTACACCCCTCTCTCTGCGGTGTGGTAATTTCGCACGTTTCTCCCTTAAGTACTTTTATATTAGAATACCTATTGATGTTGGGTTTATCTTTTGTTTTAAGACTCACACGAAGACGTTTGCCCATTCACCAGCGAGAAGCCATCAAGGTTCTCAACAGGTAAACTAAAAAAGTTTTTTAGTTTAATGGTGTTCTGTAAGTATACCTACAAAACAATTTCATGCTGAAGTGATATATTTGATGTATATTTTTATTATTTGTATTGATTTATCACATTATCTTTTAACATTTATTTAAACGAAAAGTATTTTAATGTTCATTTTGCAATATAAATCTCAGCTGCCATCTTGGATGAGCTTCAACAAAGGATTTCTCATCACTGTTGCTCATTCATCCAACATGGCCGTCGGTCTTTTATTTTTTAAATCTCAAGGGAATGATTGAAAACGAACAAAAATAGTCAAAAAACACTTTTATATTCACCAGGAACACAGATCAACTTGTGATAACAAGAGAAATCAAACCAAAACAAGAGGAAAGTAGCAGCTCCACAGGACAGTCAAGGCCAGCGTCAATCTGCTCCTCCGTGTCCTCGGGTTACGCCAGCGGAGAGGAGAATGATAACGTGACGTCACCTGCGCATGCGTGCACTTGTCCTTGTAATGGACCGACATGCTCTGCGAAGCAGCAAGACTTTTCTCGTATTGTGAAAGAATTACGTCATGAATCTGCTCTTGAGCAACTCGCCAAACAAAACTTTGATTTTTCTGTCTCGGTTATATCACCGACACTTCAAAGACTGCACGAGTTTAAACGCCAGAAGGCAATACCTGAAAGTACAGAGAAACCAGTAGACAATGTTTCTGACAGTTCTGACTGTCATACAGCTGAAAGTATCAGTAATAAGGTAAACGACAATGAAGAAAGGACGAATGAACAGCACGTTTCAGAGAGTATTGGCAATAATATTGACCAAACAATGGACAATTTTATCGAGGATTTCTCAACTTCTTTAAACAAAATCGAATATCTACACCACATGAAGTTATTATCACCAGAACAACCTGGGCTTAGCGACCACGACTCTTACGGGTCCGAGAGAGACTTGGGCTACCTCTCTCCATTAAATGAAAATATACTAACAAGTCAAAGCTCGTCGAATTTAAAGCGTTTTCAGAGAAATAGGAGATCGTGGGCTCCACAAAGCTCATTTTCAAAGCAGTTTTGTGATGGTGTACTACCTTCCCAATCGGTAATTGCTGGTAGCCTTCACAACGTTGCTGTCGAAGATGACAATGTCAGTATCTGGTCCGGTTTGTCGACATTGTCGGGAGATTCTGCCACTTCAGGTGTGTCTGCGATGTCTGTACCTGTAGATGGTAAACATGCTTCCAAGAGAAGATATTTCAGACTCAAAGAATTCTTTAAGCAACTCAGAGGAAAAGAACGAAGGTAAATAATAAGCTACCTCTCTCCTCACACTAACCAATTAGCATCAGGCAATTATCCATAGCACAATGCTATCAGCATCAATCAACTATCTACACACCAACCAATCAGCATCAACCAACTATTCCTACCAACAACCAATCAGCATCAATCAACTATCTACGCTACTCGACCAATCAGTATCAAACACTAACGATTGATCAAATTTTTTTAAAAAGAATAACCAGTTAACCTGTAAAGAAGACTTACTTTCTTCGTATTGCAGATCTCAATCGTTGATCCAGAAAAGCACAATGCCTACCATACCCCAGGAAGACAGGACATTGGTGTCACCTCGAATGATGATTTCATCCGTCTAATATACGTACTTATGGTAGCTGGAACTTATTCAACGTGTTATGACGAACTCAGCAAGAACTAAAATATTTAAACTGTTTCTTTTGATTTTATTGGAAAATGACGAAATTATGTATATACCGTTTGGTAACAGTTTCTATTTTAAATGAATAACAACCATGATGAACGTGTATATTCGTACATTCAAAGAACAATCAAAATACAATGGTGTAGATCCAGTGACTGTTGAAATCCCAAAAATCATTGACCACCAAAATGAGTGAACATCGTCGATTTTTGACCAAAATGCATGGACTATAGCCCACCAAAATG